TAAATGAACTCTTGTATCCGCAGTGGATGATGTCAGCCAGTGGAAACAAATAAAACGTCACATGCACACAGTATGCGGTCTCAAGATGAAGCTTTGAAAGGCTCAGAGGTAAAACTTTAATGACTCCCAGCCTTCATTGTTATCCAGGACCCCACCTTATTTTTTTCCCCTTACTGTGTAATGAGCGCAGCCAATCACCTTTCTGGATTCATACCATCTCTGAGAATGTAATGACACCTGGGTGATGCAGCAAAGCAGAGACACTTTTACAACCATTCTGGAAAGTCTGATTTTTACCCACAATGGCTGAGCTTTCTGTCAACCTCCTGGGCTTGAGACTGGTGTTTTCTTCCATTGGTCTTATGGGCAACACAGTTCTCATCGCTTCCATCATTAAGATTAATTTCTTCCACATTAAATCTTTTGAGATATTTCTCTTCGGACTTGCTGCAGCCAACTTGTGGGAGATTGTCATCATAAATATCTATGACATAATCATCCTTCAGACTCCCTCCACCGCCACGGGCACTTGGTCATGTTATTTACTGGAGTTCGTAACTGTTATTGGTGAAATTAACAGCATCTTCTTCACTGTCCTCATCTGTATCTTTCGCTACCAGAAGCTGAGAGATCTAAACACGAGGGTCAACTTCCCACTCTTCCTGGATAATATCAGATCAGCCTGGACGGTGAGCGGCATTTCTGTGATGCTCTCCGTGCTGCTCAGTGTTCCGATGTTTGTCATCGACCAGGAGAGCAAAGCGGAAAACGTCACAAGAAACAGCAGCATGTGCCCTCCAGACTTCTTTCACTGCACTCAAAATCATTGTCCAGTGTTCAACCGCATATACAAATACCTGTTCATCGTCTCGTGTCACCTGCTGCCTCTGATTATCGTCACAGTCACCAGCTGCCTCATCCTCACAGTGCTGCTGAGCCAAAGGAAGACAGTGACACCAGCGGTTAACGAGACTGGGTCAAGTCAGTTCAGCAGGAAGAGTAAAGATACAAAGATCCAGTGGAGTACGATAGCTGTACTGGGAGCCATGGGATTGTTCCAGGTGGACTGGACTACCTACCTGATTTTTCAGTTGGCTTTTAACCCATATGAATTCCCTTTCTGGTCTGAAGCTCAGTTCTTTATCACAATATCTTATACATCCATCTCTCCATACATGTACATGATAGGGCATAACATGATCCCTCCCCACAGCTGTAAAAAAGGATAATTTAAAGATACAGTAAGTGATTTTGTTGAAGTTGTTTAAGAGAAGAAAAAATGTTGTACTCTTGAATATAGTACATTGATCCTGTGTAATTACTTCTTGTAAAAGTTTAAAGCCTTCTCATAAACTTAGAATTATGATGGATATCAGTGCTCCACCGCAGTGCGTTTTATATATGTGGCTAGAGACTGGCCAAATATATAGTATGCCATAGATACTTTTAGTTTATAGATAAAACTATATATCGACATTTAACATTTGTGTACATATATTTTTCATCATCTCTTTGTCGTTATGTCTTTCTCCTCTTCCGCCACTGCTCTCTCTCTCCTCCTCCTTCCTCCTCACCTGAAGCCTTGTCTCCTAAACTGAAGTCAGGGCTCTAACAAAATGAAAATCCTTATTTATTCCTGATATTGTCACTTATTACTTATTGTCAGCAGATCAGACATGTGACCCTCCCATATCCACACGAGCCAGCTAAACAACAACAAAAGCTAACACTGTGCCAGCTAATGTTAGGCTCGAGTGTGCTAAAAATCACACTTTCCCTCTGATAAACAGTTTGAATTTAACAATATATGTATATTTGAGTATTTGCCCTACTTTGGCCACCATAGTTAGGATTATGCACTTGAATTGGAAGGGGCAAGAAAACAGTACCCAATTGACCGCAATCTGCAGTCTACTGACATCTAGTGGTGGGATTTTACATGATTTACCTTTAAAGCTTTTCTTTACACCACACTTGTTTCTGACTTGTTGAAATTGAGGTCTTCTTTTTCTGTAAGAATGTTATAAATGTGACAATGTGACAATATTAGGCTAACAAACTTTGCAAGTTCACAGGAAGAAGAGGGTGATCATTTAGAAACTTGTATCACCAAATCCATAGAGCATTGTCTTAGAGTCTGCATTTACATCTAATATAAAAATGAAAGCATTCCTTTGTTATGTTTTGTCATTTCAGTGTGATGTAGATCAAAAGAGTACTTATCTTTCTCAGTGTTGCATACTTTGAATTGTCTTCACAGCAAATGTTTTTTTATGGTAAAAGTACAAAAGGACCATCATTCCTTGGAAAAATGCTAGCTGATAAACCGTCTTATTTTTCAGTGCAATTGAGCACATGGCAGCTGTGTTTGTATGTAGCCATTAGTCTTGTACTCAAAGCAGCATGGCCTGTATTTACAGTACAATAGGTTGAGTGAAAAAGCAATTCTGTGCCTCATACCATCTTGCACAAAGACAGCTGCAGTCAGCCCAACCTGTCATTTCATGTTTATAAAGCGTAAATACTACACTATGAGCATAGCTTGATCTGTGATATCGGTTTTAAAAAAATAAAAATCAGTCTCCCAGTGAAAGTGAAAGTTGTTATACATAGTACATAGGTCACATATTACTCATAGTGACCAATTTAACCTAGTTGTGAAATGACACTAATACTGTACTCTAATTTTATTATTATATAATAGGACTATACAACATATGTGACCATTTTCCAACCCCCCACTTCAACCCCTTGACTTCATTTGGACCTTTAACGTAATCCTGACAAACTATGGATCACCAGGTCTGCAATCTTGATTTAGACGTAAATATTTTGCCGTTTCAAAGTGATTTTAATATGGCTTTGATAGTCGTGACAGAACTGACAAAAGCCGTACGAATCTGTGCTCTGGTAATTGTCTGTGCTGCCACTGCTGATTACACATCAGTGACTTACACTGGAATTTGGAGGCAAACGGTGCGTGCTGATTTACTATTTTTTTTAAAAAGACCCACTTGATGCTTGTTTTTCAGGTGTCACGAGATTAGAGCAGCGTGGGCATTTTTTTATGCACAATGTGGAAAATACTTAACCGATAATTAAAATAAAAATATGAATGTCGCCCCCTTTAAACGTGCCCGATACACGGAGGCATCTCTACATGTGCACTTATTATGAACCTTTGATTCGATTCCCCCCCCACTGATTAACCCCATGCCTTGCGTTTAATGTGTAATAAACTGTATAATTGCAGGGCACTTGTGGTTGGTGGCGAAGCACTTTGCAATGTTAAAGTCATTTCACGAGTCCGTGCACGACCTCGCGTGGGAGATTTCGCTCTAAGTTGTGTCTCTGTGTGGACTATTAGTGAATACAGTCTCATTTTTGCAAGTACCTTTAGTATCCATTTGTCGCACACAAAATAAGTGCACGTGATTTCGATTTGACTGGACACGCGGAACATCACCACGAGAGTTCCACGTGGAACACAAAAGATGGGTCGTCGCCTGTGAGCCGTTTTTCACCCACTTCCTTGTTTGACCGCCCCGTTCGCTCAATACTTCTCATACCATAAATCGTTGATTCTTCTCTTCTTCTTCTTTTAACCCACACGGGGTTTTAAATCACAAGATTGCGTGGCCGATGATCTGAATGAGAGTCGTTCTTTTGTTTTGTGTTGTTGTGCTATTAGGTTGTTGTGAAAAGCAGAGATCCTGCAGAGCCCGACTGAAAATGTGATTTAGTACTAATTTTATACTTAGCTATCCGCAGTGTTAACATCTGTAGAGCAGAGGTAAGTTTTGTATGGTTCATGTTTAATGAAACTTATGTAATATCAATTTAGAAAAATATCAGAATGAGGAAAAATGAATGGCTTTTCCCCTCATTGTTATGTGCTATTATCTATTATATGTTTATACAAGTGTTATTACCGCATCGATAAGGCATAACAACGCAGAAATATACTGAACACTTTTATTTATTTATTCAGTCACATACATCACTAGATTTACTGGCTCTCACACCTTCTGCTGATCAAAAACTGTGGCAGGTATCAAAACACCTTTGCATATGTTTTTGTTTTTCCCTTTTGGTACTAAACAGAAGTACACAACTCACATAAGCATTGTGTGCCAATTCAGTTGTCTTCATGTTGATTTTGTTGGGCTAAAGGGTTGCCTTTGGTTTCCCATGTCTATGTCTTTCTAAGGTAAAATGGCTTAACAGCACTTCATTTAGGGCGTGCAATTTACACAAAATGCGCATATAGACAACATATGCAGAGCACAGTAGGCTAGAGTGTAGCCTATATAGCCCAGCTGCCTAAAGATAAAGTGGAGGAGCTGTGGAGGTTTTTGAGATTTTCACGTGGCTAAAATTCAGACATTGAATGCCATCTCGCTATTATTATGGAGCTTTTTATTACATTTTTATTACTGGGGTTTCCGGATAAGCTAGGACTACACTTCCGGTATGGTAGCTAGGCCTAGCCTGTAAATTAGATTACTTTATGCTTAGATCAAGAGCGTTTGCTAAAAATATTAGCGACCCAATAGGGTCTAACGGTATTCTTCCAGCTTTTTAAAATTATTTTTTACAATTCAATATGTGCAAATTCATAATGCTATTTTTTGTCCAAATATTTATTCTTAACTTCAACTCCTGGCCACCATCTTGTCCCGTAAACAAAGCCAATCAGCCTTGCTCTTTTTTGTAGACAAGGTCAATCAGTTAATAGTTTATGATCCACTGATTTCAGTTGCACATATTAATGTTGATGCATAATACTACAAAGATACAAAATTACTTTCAATGTTCATTTGTTTTTTTCGTACGTTTGCCACCGTGATGAAACAACTGGCCGGTCGTCCATTGGGAGCTTGCGCATTGGCTACTGGATCTCTACCACCATGGTGAACGTGTTACGTCACAGCTCGAGAGCACGGATGTGTGTGTGTGTGTGTGAGAGAGAGAGAGAGAGAGGGGGGGAGCAGAGAGGACAGTGTGTGTGTGTATGTGTGGGCTAAGACAGGGTGAGAATGGAAGTGTGATCGAAAAAGGTAGAAGAAGTCAAGGAAACAGACAGGAAGAGAGAGAAAGTGTCACGCCTTTGCTCTCAGTGCGCGAATCACACATCCTAAACATTTTCGCGCAAACTTGCAGAGAGTTGTCCTTACCGGCGCGCGGACCGCGCTCGAGGTGAGAACGAGCGAGAGAGAAAAGAAATATTTATGTATATCTCCTGGATGGCGGACTCCCGCTTCCCTCGAGCTGGCGGGCCGGGAATCACGCGCCATTGAAGAGGGGGGTGGAGGTGGGGGGGGTGATAGTGTGCATGCGCTTTGGCTCCACTGCGTGCACACTCGGGTCGGTCGATGTGAGCACAGTGGCGTGGCTCTCGGCCTCCATTTGCCAGTTTGTGTTTATGTTCGAGGGATTCTCCGAGGCCCTTTTAACGGCGACGGCGACGTGCAACAGTTGGAGCTTCGCCGCTGAACGATACTGTTGCCTCGCTGCGGTCGGCCACGAGGTACCGAAGCGACGCTGAAAGGTGAGGCTTTAGTGAAACCTGCAACTTTTCCAACTTGGTGAGTGGTGGAGCGGGCGGCCTTCCTTCTCCGCGGTGTGTGAGGAAGAAAGAGCTGCTGGTTTAACAACTTAAATTCTTAACGCTGCTTCTTATTGCAGGGAGTGAAATAGTTATACGGGAGTGACGCTGGGAGTTTATATTGTAAACATGGAGGTGATGAGCCGTTTTAGGCTCTCGTTGTGGTGTTTAACACCTTTAGACTTGAAGCATCCGTGTGCCGGCGTGACAATGTGATTAGGAAATTAGAGGAGGGGGGTTAGGACAACAACAAAAAGGGGTTACCTTTATAGTTTCTGGTGTGCCGTTGACCAAGATCATTTCTCTTGGCTTTCAAGGTACAAAACGGTGTTAGTGGTTCATCCTTGTTTAAAATGTAGGGCTGTTTTTCCGTCTGTGTCCTGAGCTGGAAGCCCATTGGTCAGTCATACTGAAGTGGTCTCCTGCAATGCAAAGTCCACTTTTCCCCACAGGGCCACGAGAAATTGTTCAAATGATCTGAGCGCTTTTTGATTGTTTATATTTGTAGTATTCGTCTTGAATGGTGTGATGGTGGCTTCAGGAGTTCTTGCGTAGGAGCATTTAACATGTAGTTTAAAATAATCTTATTAGTCTGTTAAAAATTTAGAAATATACGAGTTTTACTTCAGTTTTAGAGACAGAGCAGGTCTTTTAAATGTAGTTTTACATTTTTAACCAAAATAAATAAATTAAATTTTAAAAACCTAGAGATCATCAGAGGAGCACACATAACCCAAGGTTGTAAATAAATTATGTTCCGTTCCCAATTAAGTTTCTAATTTATTTTTCAGGGTATTTGGGGACAGGATGTGCCTTTCTGAAAAACAAAACAAAAAAAACATCCCTTGATTAGTGATTTTGTTATTTTTACAGTATGGTCCTGATGAACACAAAGGGACGTTTTTATGATTTGTGCAGATCAGATGTCTTGAAATTTGGTCTGGTTTGCTTACAAAACATTCAAACAGCTGGCAGTCACAGAAACTAGTGGCTGGAGATCATTTAATTTTGACACGATATCAAGTCTTTACACTTAAGATGAGCTACATTCATCTCGAGTCTTCATTTGATTTCACAGTACTTGTGTCAGCGCCTTGAATAATGCCTGTGTCTTTAAGCAGCCCAGTATATGCTGGACTTGTCATTTGTAACACTTACTGTTGCAACACCCTATAGCGATTAGCCAGTTCTCAGTAGTGCTGAACAGAGATCTGCTGAGGTGAACATCAGTATATTTTGTTGTTGTTATTATTGTTTACTTCACCATTTTGTGTATGGTAAACAAACACATCTTCACAATAATAAAGTAGCTGAACAGTTTACGAGTCTTTTATCTCTCCATCAGGCCATCTTTGAACATTTTTAGGGACAAACTGATGAGGTACAGCAGATAAACATCGGCAACCGCCATTGGTTAATGTCTTCTTTTTTCAAGTATCAGTCAGATATCAGTCAGCAAGAGCAAAAACCACTGCTCTTTAGATGCATCGGTGCATCCCTGTTTGGCTTCTTTAAGTAAACACACATTTTCAGCGGTCTCTGAGTTGATCGGCACATTTTGGTTGTAATCATTTCTGAATGCAAAGTCTTTACATTTCTGGGTGCAGCTTTCCAGGCTCCTCTTTCCTTCCTGCCGCTGTTTGTTCTGCTTGGATGAGTTCTAATTGCATCCTCTCTGATCATTGTTTATATTATATTTGTTCTTCATTTTGTTTTTCTGTCTTTAAAATTAAATTCTGCTGGTTAGATTGTATCAATGTAATGCATATTGTACCTCTGAATGCTGTTATAGCGTACAAATAACGCTGCCTTTTTTTGTTTGTGTGTCAGGTGTCTCATGCAGTGTGATGATCAGAGCCACCGGTGATGTCCGCCTTAGACTCTGAGCTCCCACCCATGGAGGAAAACCAGGCAGTGGAAGGTGAGAAGGGCACCTTGCTTAATGCGCCCTTCTCCGCTCCTCCTGCTTCCATTGCTTCTTCAGCTCCTGCGTTCCCAACCTTGACAAGACCTAATTTCACTAGTGATACAGTGATTGAGAGCAAAGCTGTCTCCATGGCGAGTAATGATACCAGTGCTGCTGTTTCTTCACCTGCTGAAGCTAGCCCGGCTAAATCTGCAGTAACATCAGCTTCTACCTTGGAAGGAACTGTTGAAAAAAGCCCAGAAGCCTTGCATATAACATCCGCATCAGACTCCCTAACGTGCACGGAAACGAGCATCGTCAATATGCCTGAATCAACACCATGGTCATCTGCGTTGCCCGCGACCACATTTGGCAACACGGACATGGAAAAAGACTTTCCTGCGGTGCTGACCTTCAAAGGTGTCAGTGTTGTTTTGGAAAACAACAACGTGTGGAAGCAGTTCTACAAGTGTGGGACCGAGATGATTCTCACTAAGCAGGGCCGACGCATGTTCCCGTACTGCCGATACCGCTTGACTGGCCTGGATCCCAATCAGCAGTACAGTCTGGTGCTGTCCATAGTCCCATCGGGTCAGTACAGGTACCGCTGGAGTGCATCCAGATGGGAAGTCACCGGGCGAGCAGAACATCAAAACCAAGGTCTGATCCGGGCATTTTCACACCATTACTCACCCTGTCGCGGCTCAGATTGGATGAACAGCTTGGTGTCCTTCTACAAGCTCAAACTGACCAATAACTCCCAAGACCAGGATGGTCATATAATCTTACACTCCATGCATCGCTACATTCCTAGGCTTCACATAATACCTGTTCCAGATGGAGGCATGCCCACAGCTGACAAGCCTGTAGTTATGGGACATGAAAGCATGACTTTTACTTTTCCACAAACTGAATTTATGGCTGTGACGACGTATCAGAACTTTCGGATTACCCAGCTGAAAATTAATCACAACCCGTTTGCAAAGGGATTTAGGGAGGACGGGAACAACCCCCGTCTGAACAGAATCGCTAGAGAGGCTCAAGCTATTGTGAAGACGGAATACCAGCCCACAGTGATCGAACCTGCCGAACCCAGTGAAAACCAGGAGGAGGTACTGGATCTGAGGTGGGTTTTGTGTTGTTTCTTCCTTTGTTTTAACATTGGCAAATTGCCGTGTTGTCACAGCAAAGAGAAATGCGTTTTTTGTATTGACACGCTGTTACTAACTATTATACTTTTATGTGAGTGCTATACTTTTGTGTTGTTGTGATGGAGTCTAGGTAATTATAAGTGCACGAGTAACTGAACATTTATATTCTATGCATTTAATTGACCTAAAAATCCTACATGATCAAACGGATCACTTAAAGACAACTAAACTGACCAACCACTTTGTTAGTTACACTTCGTTAGTACTGGGTTGGACTCCCCCTTATCCTTCAGAACTGCCTTAATTCTTCATGGCAGCAAGGTGCTGGAAACATTCCTCAGAAATTTTGGTCTATATTGGCATGATGGTATCACGTATAGCCCCTTTCTACTAGTACCTACTCTGGTCGGTTCGGCTTGGCACACCTCAACTTGTTTTTTGGGGTTTTTCATTAGGTGCTAGCATCTAGTACCAGGTATATTTTTTTTTAGTACCTACTCTGCCGGGGATCTGAGCAGTCTTGGGTGATTAAAAATATGACGTCAACAAACTGCATGCAACCAACTGGCCCTTCAGTGACATCGTTCAGTGAGTCATGAGGGTGTCTCCTTACGAAAATCCAAACCACTATTTCTTTTTAAACTTGACAATGAGGGAAATGGCTACACAAAAAACACCTTGTTTCCTAAGTCTGCCAAAAAGACATACACCAAACAGCGAGTATGCCATTGCTTCAACGTCCTCCTTTGTAGTGGCATTCGTGTAGCATACAAATGACATCGTGGGACTTTTGGCTGCATTGCTGTAACGACCACGTGCACATTAGATGGTACTCAAATGTAATGGAAAACAACCAAAACAGAGTCGAGTCGAGCCTCGCGAAGCCTAGTAGGTGCTAGTGGAAAAGGGCTAATAGTTGCTGCAGATGTGTCTGCTGCACGTCCACCCAAATTTGCTCTGCTGGATTGCGATCTGGTCATTGCCATGTTCAAGAAACTAGTCTGAGATGATTCGTGAAATACGGCGGGGGGGGGCGTGGTCAGAAAAAAAATCCCCAGACCGTTACACCACCATCAGGAGCAGTGACAATTATCAGACCAGGTAGTGTTTTTCCAGGCTTCTAGTGTCCAATTGGCAGTCAGTGTGTTGTGCTTCAAGGTTTGACATGTCGTGCATTCAGAGATGCTCTTCTGCATATGGTTGGCTTCCTGTCAGCAGGAAGTGCATTGAGTAGCTATCATGCGATTGGCTGTTTAGATGTTTGTTTTACTGAGCAAGTGAACAGGTTTCCCCAATGAAGTGGCCGATGAGTCTATAAACTCATAGTGTGTGTGTGTGTGTGTTACATAGAATACACCACAGTGGAACAGCACGCGGTGAATCGCTGCAAAAAACGTCTGCAGCGTATAAACTCAGAATATTTGCACAACTTCTGATTCATTTATTTTGCAACTCTTCAAATTTAATTGAGGAAATACTTCATATAATAATACAAATATTGCAGTTGTCTTGAATGCAATATAAAAGTATAATAATCAGAACATTTTTGCAAGCTGTTTGTATTGGATTGCATGCATTATTAATTTCTTACTTGACTGCCTCATTAGGTGTAGGAATTTGTGAAATTGCCAGTTAAACCGCTGGAAACAGCTTATTAAAATGCCACTGCCACATGCTGTTCCACCTCAAATGAAAGGATTTTGCACTGAGATCATGATTAAATCCACTTGTTTGGTATCAATAACCAATATTAACTTTTATGTGTTACAGTGCAAACAGTCAAAATGACTCTGCTTCTCTATCAAATGTGCAAGAGACCCGATTGGTACTGAAGCCCATAATGTCTAAACCTGCTAGAAAAGATGAACCATATGTCCCCTGCATAAGAGGCAAACATGCTCTTGGTGATCTTGTGCTTGTTGCACCCAAGCAAGAAAGCGCTGCCACCAGTGTAGCCCCTGAGGTGCAGCAGGGCTTAAGAGTATGGATGTCGCCTAAAGCGAGATCTGTGACTGCTAATTCCTCAACGTCTACCCCTGGATCATCACCTCGATTCTGTAAGAGGAGGAAGAAGATGAACAGACGTTGGTCAAATTCCCGGGGAAGAGAGTGTAAAACTGCAGCAGCCTCCTCCACAGTCGTCCACAGCCCATCACTGACAGGCGCTATGCAACCGGAGATGGATGATATAGAAGGCCTGCTGTTTGTGTCGTTCACCTCAAAGGTAAAACACTGAAAGTGATTGCATTGGATGCTCAGAGCACATCGGCATGTTTCCAGAGGGTGTCGTTTCGTTTAATAAAGGGAGGAGTGGTTCCTTCAACATTCCACCTGATATCAAATAAATCTTTAAGCTTTAATGCTCTTTTATGTCACAGCAAGCTCTTGAGGTTCATGTCAGGAACAAGATGGTCAGTACCTCATCGTCAGCATCTCCTGCTTCCCTAACAACCCCAGCACCACCGACACAAACAAGCGACCAACGTGAGGATTTTCTTTCTTTCTTTCTTTCTTTCTTTCTTTCTTTCTTTCTTTCTTTCTTTCTTTCTTTCTTTCTTTCTTTCTTTCTCTTCAGTTGATTAAACTATAGAATAAATATTTTTGTGCCTTTTTTTATTAAAACCCTGTTTTTCTTTAAATATTATTGTGGAATCTTTAATATACATTTTTAATGTTGTTTGCCCGAATCTGAAATTGTATCTGTGGTGTTGACAGTGAACGTGAATCCAGAGACCGATGAGGAGAAGATGGCTCGTTTCGAGACTGCGTTGCTGAATGAGCTCAGAGTCCACAAACACAGACAAGTTATCCATCCCGTCTTGCAGGAGGGTGAGTATACAACGGGCATAGTCTTTCAAGTTGTTACCTAAGTTTTATAAAATTAACTAAAGCACAAGAAAACAACCCAAAACACTCTCACTGTTTTTACCGTTTCTCTCAGTGGGCTTGAAGTTGAGTTCCTTAGACCTCACTATGTCCATTGACCTGCAGTATTTGGGTGTTTCCCTCCCACTACCACCTCCAGAACACAGCAAGACCACCACTGTGTCTCCTGGTGGTAAGTTGGGCTGAATCTTTGACAGTTTGTGCATGTTTGATCGAGGTCCTTCGATTGCTTCTTTTGCACAATATCTTATGAGTAATTTGTCGTATGCTGTTGTCATAGTAAGAAAATAGGCGGACAAGTATTGCAGAAAACTAATCAACGTGAGACTTGTCGGAAAAGTCCTTTAAATGGTACAGTGACCTATGCAGTAGGTGGAGATGTCAGTGGCAAATTAGAGCGAGTCACATTAGACTTCTTGAATATGGTAAATGGCCTGTATTTGTATAGCGCTTAACTAGTCCCTAAGGACCCCAAAGCGCTTTACACATTCAGTCATCCACCCATTCACACACTGGTGATGGCAGCTACATTGTAGCCACAGCCACCCTGGGGCGCACTGACAGAGGCGAGGCTGCCGAACACTGGCGCCACCGGGCCCTCTGACCACCACCAGTAGGCAACGGGTGAAGTGTCTTGCCCAGGGACACAACGACCAAGACTGTCCAAGCCGGGGCTCGAACCGGCACCCTTCGGATTACAAGGCGAACTCCCAACCCTTGAGCCACGATCGATATGATCAATTCTATATAAAACAAGTTTTTCTGCGTTTTTTTAACAACTGCTTGGTGCAGTCACAAAGCTACACAGCAAGTGGTTATATCTACATTTGGCACAGTTATAAGCCCACTAATAATATTTCATCTAAACTTCATGCTCAGCAGGTTTGTGCATGTTTGGTAAGGTGTCTCTGATAGTAATGTGAACAGTGCAGTTTCCTCCAGACACATTTTTTTTTTTTTAAATCTTCTGATATTGTAAAAGTTATACATTCCTTTGTTGCATCTTAACTGAACTACTGTAATGCAATGTATGCCGGACTTAGTCAATCATCTCTTGCCCATTTACAATTAGTCCAAAATGCTGCAGCCAGATTCTTGAGTGGAAAAAGAGAGATGTTATTACTCCAGTGTTAGCAGTTTTGCTCCCTCTGCATGACAGAATCCAATCTTAGAAAGTCATAGAAATATTTAAAAGGTCTTTGAGGCCCGCCTCTCGATCACTCCTGCTCATCCCACAGTTAAAGCTTATTTCAAAGGGAGCTCATGGCTTTGCTGTTGTTGCACCAAAACTCTGGAATGACATCCCAGATGACCTCATCCGCTGTGGCTGTTTTTAAGTCTTCTGTCAAACTTTTGGAAACTGCTGATTTCTGGAACTGTGATTGGACGATTAGTTGCTTTTGGGTTATTTCATGTAAAAACTCTGAATACAGCAGGATGTTTTCAGGAACCCATTTATTGTATGTTATTTTAGTGTAAAGCAGGCTTTTAAAGGGATTTTAAATTTATAAATGTGCCGTGCCCCTCTCCTCACCCCTGAACTGGTTACGGCAGACAGCTGTCCCTCTCTGAGCCTAGTTCTGGGGGAGTTTCTTCCTGTTTAAAGGGAGTTTTTCCTTCCCACTCTCGCCAAGTGCTTGCTCATAAGACGACACCTAATTGTTCCAGGTTTCTCTTTTTTATTATAGAGTCTTTAGCTTCTAATATAAAGTATCTCGAGGTGACTGTTGTTGTGATTTGGCACGATAACTGCTATGAGCAGTGAATTAGTTATCACAACTTTTTAATTCTTTATGCCTTTTAGGAAAGCTTGCACTAGCTTCAAAGCAGACTAACTCAGTTCATATTGACTAACTTGGGGAATTGGTGTGCCATGGATGGTTTATCCTTCGATGTAAAGCAAGTTTGATTCATGTGTCTGATTGCAATATACTGGTGAAGCGCTTAGTACTGCTGGTCACTTATTAGGAGAATTTAGCAAATTATTGAAAACCGAAGCATGGAAAGTCTCCCAGTCTTTACTAGAGATCTATTATTAAAGTACTGAGTGTGGCCCTAAGATTCGGTGTGTTGAATTTAGCTGCTTTTCTGTTTCTTTCCAGTAAAGTAAAAAACTTCATACATGATCACATGCAGCGGCATTGTAAGAAGATGTTTTAACAGCTTTATTGGAATGAATTAAAGTCACAAAAGTACAAAAAGCACCATTTCCCCGGGTGCTTATCGGTACTCCTGTAATAAGGAGTCGGGTACTGACTGGAATTTTAAACATCCTCTGTACCCTTCACTAGCTTCAAACATTCAAGCCAAAGTGATGACAGCCATCACTGCTGACGTCGGCTGCTATGACGCAGAGACCGAAAAGCTAGTTGGAAATCTCAGATTCTTTTTTAGGAGTTGAGATTTGTTGTGTGGGTTTTCAAAGGGTGTGTGTCATATGAGGTTGCAGATCTTTCTTGATGAGTTTGTCAGTCATGCCACATTAAACCTTCGCATAATGTCAAGACAGAAGTGATTAGGTGATGGCTCTTGGGCGATCAGATAAGAAAAGAACAGCTGAACTTGAAGGAGTACAATTTTCTCTTGAGCAAAGAGAATAAAATTGGCATCAAATTCTGATTAAAATTTGTGTTTCTGCTGCAGAACTCAGGCTGGCATTGTTAAAACATAATAGTGTGCTGTGACCTGTAACTAAAGGCATTATGTTTGCTGCACAGATGAGGCACTACCCTTCATCTCCAGAACGGGAAAGACAAGTGACATGACGAAAATAAAGGGGTGGAAAAACAAGTTCGTAAAAGCCAAGGAAACATCTTCTTCCAACGGTGAAGGTAAGGGCTGCTCGTCATATTGTTGCTGCAATGTTCCTTTTATCATGCCGTGGGATTAGTGTAGTCATTCTAATTACCAAAAGATTAACTGAGCTGAAACCAGCTGAAAGTACTTGTGTCTGATTCATTATTCTTCCTCAATAAATTAAAGTCCCTTTCTTCTTTCTCTCAAAAAGGATTACAAAAGAACCTCTCTGCCTTCTGCAGCAACATGTTGGATGAGTACTTGGAAAGCGAAGCTCAGCAAATCAGCGAGCGCGCCGCTGCTTTCTCTACAAACCCAGAAGGCTCGGTGTCCTATCAGCTGCCCGCTAAAAGCTCCAGCTATGTAAAGACCCTGGACAGCGTTCTCAAGCATCGAAAGGCTCCTTCGAAATTCCCGGTGGGGGCCAACAGGCCTTGTCCCCTATCCCACAAACCACTGCTCTATTCTGCTCTGACGTCACCTGCTCCTCCGCTGGCCACGCCAGCAGCCCCCCATCAAGCAGGAGCTAAATTCACATTCCAGGCTGCGTCCTCGCTGAGGCAGCCGAGTGATGCTTGTGGTTCTAGTAATACCCAGAATCAGGGAGTTTCACAGAGGTAAGGATATATTTTAAATTTAGTCACATTTGATCACATGTTTTGTGTTCTGAATTTGATTGGCTACTGATGTGGTTAAAGGTTATTTGAGTTAAGAATCGATACTTTGTTGCAATAGTAAGAATTTATAATTCCTCTAAGGTGACATTTCTCATAAAATAGATGCAACAAAACCAAAGATTTTTCATTTCAAAATGGGAAAAATGCCATGATGATCACTGATACTGACTTTTTGTATTTGTATTTATGAAAGCCCTCTAAATATACTGATTTACTGTAGTTACCTACATTGTTTTGTAGGTAACTACAGTACAGGTTTAGTATTAGTTGATGCTTTTCAAAACCCAGCTGCAAGTTTTATGCAAGTTTTATCATTTGTCATTTACCAGCTTAAAGTGAATTTCAACTCTCCACCTGCACTCTCAGGACTTTCTTTCTTTTGTGACTTTAATGCACTTTAAATTCCATCCATCCATCCATCTTCATCCGCTTTGTCCGGGGCCGGGTCGCGGGGGCAGCAGCCTAAGCAAAGAACGAGATCGCGGATACAAGCGGCAGAAATGAGCTTCCTCCGAAGGGTGGCTGGCCTCTCCCTTAGAGATAGGGTGAGAAGTTCGGCCATCCAGGAGGGGCTCAGAGTAGAGCAGCTGCTGCTCCACATCGAAAGGAGCCAGCTGAGGTGGTTCGGGCATCTGACAAGGATGCCCCCTGGGCGCCTCCTGGGTGAGGTGTTCCAGGCATGTCCCACCGGGAGGAGGCCCCGGGGCAGACCCAGGACACGCTGGAGAGATTATATCTCTCGGCTGGCCTGGGAACGCCTTGGTATTCCCCCGGACAAGCTGGAGGAGGTGGCTGGGGAGAGGGAGGTCTGGGCCTCTTTGCTTAGGCTGCACTTTAAATTATTCTTCAATTTATCCACCAAAAGCTTTTTACCCCCCAGCCATAAAAGGCCGATGGGATATTGTCGTCACCCTGACGGTTGGGTGGGTGGTGTGGACACCCAAGTTTGTGAAAGGGATAACTCAAGAACTAGTCTACGTAGGATTTTAAAACCATACCATAGGTGAATCTGCTAAAAGTCCCAGAGGAGTTTGAATCTCAGTTTGACCTTGGTCTGAAGATCACAGTTAGAGGTCAATTTTTCTATTTAAAAAAAAGAAAGAAAAAAAAGCAGGAAGTCACCTAGGATTGGGACTTTTCCATTAGTACCTACTAAGATCGACTCGCCACAACTTGACTTGACAATCAAATAGCACCTAATTTGTATGGTCGACACTCTCATGACTCATCGAGTGATGCCACTGACCAGGCAATCGGTGGCATGCAGTCTGACGATGTCACATTTTAGTACCTGCTTGGATCACTAGGAACTCCGGCCGAGCAGGTACTATTTTAGTACTTGGTACCAGGTGCTATGACCTAATGGAAAACCATGGCGAACTCGTGAGTCGATCTGAGTAGGAACTAATGGAAAGGGGCTTATTAGGAGTGGTAGCAACAACAACAGAGAGGTAACACTGACAGCCATCAGTATTTTTTCCACTAGTTGTTTATGAGTTTCACAAAACTACGGCGTTATAGTAGACTGTTTTCGAACAATGTAGAATCCTTATTATCTATTAAAATGATATTAGAATTGTATTTATAGAAATATAATTAATAAAATTATTAGAAAGAGGGGAAAAAAACAAAATGTTACATTTTGAGTCATGAACTATTTTGCACTTTTTAAATCCATTCACTTTTTTTTTATCAGTTTGTTAGGGTGGTTATACATCTTTATTTATTTTTTTAATCAAAGGTTATAATATCCATCCATTTTCTTCTCGCCCATACTGTAGTTTTTGAGTTATCCAAATCCAGCCACATCCAGTGAAAATGACTGCAGTTATTGATCGTGCAACCCCCCTTTTCACCACTACGTTGGCGGACATATACATAGGCTTCCTTGCTTTGTAATTAGTCCTGTAGCTGTTTTCCTACAGCTGTTTATAATGTAGTTTTGCTTCACATCAGTACATCTTTTCAACGAACAATTCTTATCTGCTCATTTCATGTTTCTTCCCCAGGTTGTCAGAGATGAGCTTTGGTCAGAACCAGGGGCCGATGTCCAAACCTTCGGGGCTCACCAAGTTCCAGCACAAGCTGCTGGAAATGGAGACGGCAGCTTTGAACCAGGGCCTCAGCAGAACACAGCTGACTACAGAGAGGCTGTCAGCTGCTCTGACTGTGTTACTGACAAAACAGGTATGTAGCATGTTTGTCCTCTGCAGGAAGTGTAGGAATGTCAGTGACGACTTCATTGTTTCATTCTGTAGTGATGTTTTTCAAAGTCTCCCTGGCTTTTATAATATCAAATGTAAAGGAGGTACATTAAAGAAAAGCACACAAAGTGATTTTTCAAACTCTTTTGATGACTCTCACTTCTCATTTTAACCAGACGCAGCCCAGCCAGATCTTGAAAGTACCCCCTTCTCCAAATAAAGTTGCTGGACCTGAATGTGGTCAAGAGTTCTGCAGACTCGGCTGTGTGTGTTCCAGTCTGCAGCACCTGAACAGAGGCCATCTCCACTGCAGGCGGCCTGAATGCATGTTTGGCTGTGCCTGCTTCAAACGCAAGATCACTAAGCAGACGTCCACAGGGGAGAGCCAAGAACATCCTGTTTACTGTAAGATCGAGTTCAAGTTATTTCAGTATCATTTGTGTGTTGTTGACGATTTTTTCCCTGATTCTGACCGCAGTCTTTCAGAGTCTTTCTTTGCTCAGTTTGGTCACAAGTGTTAATGAGATACTTTTTGCCCTCCCCAGCGATGACTAATATGGAACATGTGTTCCAGCCTCGCCAAGGCTCACATGCTAATAAACTGTGGAAGTGTAATGGCAGCGATGAGGATCCAGAAGCAGTTTTTGTTCCAAAAATTGCACCCCTCTATGTGGTTACACCAAAGGCCCAAAGACGCAACAGTGTATTTCCACAACCGGTAAAATAGCTGATGCTGAAGATTGTTATTTTGCCATATTAACTCATTCACTGCCAGCCATTGGCAGTGAATGAGTTAAACCCATTGACTCATTCACTGCCATTGACGGCTATAGACGTCAATGGCAGTGAATGAGTTAATAATTGCTAAGTTTGTCAATTGCAAAAAACAAAACAAATAAGTTTTTCTTTGTATTTGTTTACAATTTGTCCTGTAATCTCATTAAAAAGAGACTAAAATCTTCATTGCAGATACGTGAAGAAGACAAGGATCCAGTGTATAAATATTTGGAGAGCATGATGACATGTGCTCGTGTAAGAGAGTTCAATAGCAAGCCGCCTCCTCAAGTCACCATAGAGCCTAAGATCTTTGCACCAAACGCCCTAACAAAACCACAAAAAACCACTGACAAGTACTACAGCACTTTACCAACTGTCAACAAAGCAGGTAAGAAAAATAGCTGCACTGTAGTGAAGTGGGATATTAAAGGTGTTTGTAGTTGTTTAAAAACATATTTCCCTGTAACCTCCAGGTGAAAACGCATCTCAGGAAACTGCATGTAGTGAAGTAGGAGCAAGGAAGCAAATACAGATCCAGTCAGTGTGTCGGTGGCAGAACGACCAGAGGATGATCCTGGAGGCTTTATGTCAGCGGATGAATCGTGATCAGCTTTCCCAACGTTTCTACATTGGTCCTTACCGCATCTGGCCAATCAGCAAGATCATTATGCGGAAGCCCAGCGGCTCCATCGTCACCTACCAGGTACTGAAGATTTGGGTATAGACTATATTAGAAAGAGTTACCCACTGGATTGTGAAATCATGTTTTGATGCCTAAAGTCAGGAGCAGTTGTATTTAGTTGTATTAGGCAGTACAAACAATATGTGCAGGCTATGTGTGCTCACACCTTACCATGCCTATAATAACCCTTAATGCTGTTTAAATGGATGGGTTTTTGGAAAAAAAATCACTCTTTACAGTTTGGGTGTAGTTAGCTACAGAACCAAAAATGTATTTATTTTTTGGGCCTTTTTACGGTTTTATTTGAAAGGGTACAGTGAAGAGTGACAGGAAAGCAGAAGGCGAGAGAGACGGGAAAACATGCAAAGGGCTGCATGTCGGATTCGAACCTGGGCCGGTCGCTCTCAGCCATGCGGCATATGGTCGCCTGCTAATTCCGCTGAGCTAAGTGGGCGACTGTTGTTGTGATTTGGTGCAATATAAAGAAAATTAAACAGATTCTGCTTTAAAGTCTGACATTTTAACATCGGCATCTATTGAGTTTGACCAGCTTTGGAAGATGGCCTCAGATGGCCCTTGTGGTTACTACTGTTTGGGCACTTCCCATGTTGCAGTGGCTGCTATCTGTTGGGTGTCTAATAATCCTGCTTTTGACTGTTGGAACATTTGTCCTCACTTTCTTTGCTTTGTTGCTTTTTCGTGTGATGACGTGATGTACGGCGTTCTCTACAGTTCTGTACTTTTTTTTTTTATAGGTGCAAATTAGCAAACCATCAAAAGCCAGTGATTGTGATGATGATGATGATGAATGTGACAGTGATGAGGAAATGCATACCAGTAAAGGCCTTGATGAGAACACTGATGCAGAGGAGGAAGATGGCCAAATCGAAGAGCCGCAGATGTGGTTTGGAGTGACACCCTTTCTGAGTGGAGTGATGCCTGCAGGAACGCTGAGAGCCGAGAGAAAACCTGCTGGTTACCAAGCACCTGGACTTATACAGGTAAGGGCTTTGTAAAGTTGGATCAAATACATCCATGTGCCTGGGAATTTTTAAATTCTCCGTTACAGATTGTCACTGGAAAAAATTTGCACTGAGGTTTGGATGTTGAAGGGGGAAAAAATGTGATTTGCATTCAGTAATTGGATTTATCCTTTGGAAAAGATAACAGTGTGTGGCTATTTAAGGACTAACAAACACACAGCTACACCAGCTGAAATATACAGATACTTTCTAAAATATACATATGCATTCCTTCCACTGCAGGTAAATGGCAAATCCTACAATCAGGCCAGACTGCAGCTTGGAAAGATGGGATCTTTGCATCCAGCTAACCGACTTGCTGCCTACGTCACAGGACGACTAAATGCTTCAGTTGATGTTCCTCAGAAAAATTCTCAGAAATCAGACTCTACACATAAAACCAGCACTCCAAAAACTGGCACCGTAAAAGTTGCAAGCTCATTAGTCAGTCCAAGTATCGCTGCAAGGAAAACTACTGATCTGAAGACACTAACGCCGTCACCAGGTAAGCTTGTCTCTCTGTTGCTAGACCACAGCAGAGGCACTTTGTTTTACATACCTGATCTGCTTTATTCAAAACTACCTCCTCCTAAATGTGCTGCCTGTTCTTCCCTTTCTCTGGCTTTCTAGTGAAAATCAGAATTCATTTAAAAATCACATACAAAGCCTTAAATGGTTCAGGTCCTTTTTCTGCAGCAGTGCTAGAGCTGACTGTGCTTTTGAGGTTGTAGCGGCTAAATTTTGAAACTCACTTCCTCAGCCCATCACGTCGGTTAAATCAGTGGTTTGCCTTTTGACTGCTGAAAACTCATTTTAGCTTTTCCTTGGTTCATCACCCATTCCTGTAATTCACACCGAATACTTGCATGTAAGTGTGTGTGCATATAAACCAATAGAGATACTATGCACGAGGTTTGTTTTTATTCAAACTGTGAAGCAATTTGTAACTGCGTGCTTAAGATATTCGCTGTCTTTATCATCGTCTTAAAGGACGTGATGCTGAAAAACAGGACAGTGTGTTTGGAAAGGCTCTTAGTAAATGTGGTTTTTCACGTGTTCTAGCTGAGCAGAAGCTAAAACTGTTTTTAGTATAGTCATGTGAAAAAAGTCCACCACTTTTATGTCCGAGATTTAGTGCATAATAAAACACTTGATTCTTACCAGGCTATAAAATTCTGAAATACCGCCTCACATGAATAGCAGAAATATGTGTGAAAAGCTAAGTACACCCCATCATACAGTAACTTGAAGTAATTGATCTCTGTGTGTCTTTACCAGTATCCCACGTTGCTGTGGAGGAATTTTGCCCCACTCGTTTTTACAGTGTTGCTTCAGTTCATTGAGCATTCATTTATGCACAGCTCTCTTAAGTTCCCATCACAGCGATCCAATCATGTTGAGGTCTAGACTTTGACTGGGTCAGTGCAACACCCTGATTCTTTTGTTTTCAGTCATTCTGCTGTAAATGACAGTGCTGGGGATCATTGTCCTGTTGCATGACTCAGTTTTGGTCGAGTTTTAGCTGTTAGACAGATGGCCTCACGTTTGACTCTGGAATACTTTGGTATACAGAGAAGTTCAGGGTTGACTTAGTGACTCCAAAGCACTCAGGTCCTGTGTAGAGATGGGAATTGATAAGAATTTAGCGATTCCGATTCCTTATTGATTCTCATTGGCTCCACTTTGAGTCACCACCACCTCTAAGCAGCGTATCAAAGACATTACATTTATGCAAATTAATTACATGCTGAGTGTTCAAATCTTGTGAATTTTGGAGATTTTTGTTGTGATCAGTGTTGGGGTCATTCTTTTTTTTTTTTTTAAAGTAATTATTGCATATATGCAGAACACTTTTCTTAAAACTAATGCAGTGCGTTAGTTAATTACACCCACGATAAAAACAGTCGTTATACTACTCGTTACGTTGCTTTCATGTTACTCTCTAAAATGATCTGAAACACACTGTCTCATAACTGCCATTTAAAAATATAAACATACAGGCTACAACCCCACACACCAACACAAATACCTATCCCGATGAGGACAAGTGTGATCTTTCTCTTAGTATTTAGGTACGTACACAAAGCCGACAGCACAAGTCAAAGATGAAAACCAGTACAGATTTTAAAGCGGTTGTCATGGTGATTCTACTGTAGAAACATGAGCCGGTAGAAACTGAGGTCATCAGTTTGTTACCTGTTGAAGTTCAGTAGTGGCTTGTTTCTGTCCTAGAGCAGTCTCCACTTTACAATCGCACTCTCAGCCTTTTGTGCAATGAAAATAAAATAATGTCCGTATCCACTATTTTCCAGTTCTCTACAAGAACCGATTCTCAATTCCAATTCCTGCAAAACAATACCAAATTACCACCCCTACACCACCATGCTTGTCAGTTGGTATTTGGTTTAGGCTAAACATGGTGCTGTGGTTTATGACAATCAGCATCTCCACTTTGATCTTTCCATTCCCATTGGTCCTTGTGGTTTGTTCAGATGCAACTTCACAAACTTGAGCTGTGCTGCCATGTTCTTTTTAGAGAGAAAATCCTTTTTCACCACAACCCTCCCAAACAAGCCATGACAGTATTTGTTGTACTGTCATGAACTGCTTGGGTTATTTGCAGTTTCTCCGATCATTGCACAGTCTGACCTTAGGGTGAATTTTCTGAGATATCTACTCCTGGAAAGATTGACAGCTGTCTTTGATGTTTTCTACTTGTAAATAATCATTCTTACTGTAGAATCATGGTCTTTTAAGCCATCAGAGACTGATGGGGAACAGTTGGTTCTCTAAGGTGATTGCTGATGTCTCTCCTCCTTGGAATTGTGAATGCGCTAGACCTGCAAACTACCAAACCTTCTGCTTTTATAGAGGTGCTCAACCTTACTGATGATCTGTTAATAAAGTGCCTTTGGTTATCAGCAAATGGCTTCTTCTCTTAGTTTTGATCGAAGCAGTAAAAGAGTACTTAGGCTTTTTTAGTTTGCTTTTCCTTCTTAGCTTAATTTTTGTTGAATAAATAATAGGACAGTGTAAGATGTCAGCTGGGGTTGTATTTATATAACATTAAGTTGTGGTAAGGACCAGATGATTTGTTAAAGCATTAGAATTGATAGAGGGTAGATGAACCTCAAGAAGTGACATCAGCTTAATCAAATAGAATAGAAGTAAACATGTATCGCTAAAAACACAGTTTTGTTAAAATAATGCAGATATTATCATCTCATCATGCTGAACTAGTTTTTTCTTTTTTTCAGTTTTCTTATTCCCTCCATGCCTCCAGAGCAAGGGACGCATCTCATTGGGGCAACAGTCACAGAAATCATCCAACATCAGCTCTGTCCAATCACTTTCCTCAGGCCAGCACAACTCAGACTCTTCCTTCCAGAGCAGCTCCTCCTCCTCGCCTGTCTCACTCACCGTCTCACAATCACTGAAAAGCCCCAGCTTTTTAGGACAGAGTGGAACCTATTCTTTCAGGATCTGCCCTCCGTCCAACCAGGGCACCGGAGGACAGAAGCTACCTGGTGTCTCCCTGCCCGGGGGCTTTACCCTCATTCAGCTCCCAGCGCCCGGAGCTGATGATGCAGCACAACAGTCAGGACATCTAAAAGCATCAAACATGGCGAACAATGATGTCCTGTTACAAAAAGACAGTGCAGCTGGGTGTCCTGCTGCGGACACAGTGAACGCAGTCAAGAGCTCTTTAAGCAGCAAATTAGCAGAGCCCGGCTCCTCCCCTGAGCTGGTTTGTGATGGGAAGATCCCGTCAGACGAGGGCGATGAGGCCAACGGCAAGCAGGCAGAATCAAACCTAGACATCGCTTCAGACACAAGTTCCTACTCATCAGACAGTGAAGGAGAGGGAGACGAAGATGTAAGTTTGAGAATTACACTTGTTTTTTATTTTCTTTGAGTGCTTAGTGATTTATTTTAATGGAAGGCCCTCTAAACTGTAAGTGGACAATGGTTTATTATAAATGTAAAGATAAAAAAATCAGCTGTCAGCTCATAGAAACAAATCAGTCCAACTTTAAATACATGTAAAATTTAAACTGGGTGCAAAAATTCAAATTGGTTCATCTTTAACTCTAATTATAAAAACACTAAATTGCTTTAGAAAATATGAAAAAGTAGTCGGCCTAATCCTGACGTTGTTTGAAAAAGCTCATCATGAATGATGTTGTCTTCAGGATGAGACGGTGGATGTTGAGACTGTAGAAGAAGTGAAACAACAGATGGCCATCGCTAAACTGAAGAAAGCTCTTTCCAAGGGAGTACTGCAATCACGGTAATAAAAAATGAACATCTGGATGTTGAAATTAAAGCATAAAATTGTTATTTACCGTCACAGCTGAAATTTGTTTATCATCATTTAGAGATTCCAGAGAAGATTTGGGATCATTTTTGGAACTCGACTCCCAGGTAAGACAAGCGCCAGCTTAACCGCCATATTTAATTGCCCTCACTTTATATAGATATAGTAGGAACACAGTTCTTTGTATTATAAGGCAGTATCTATAGTGTGTTTTGAGTTTTCACTGCGTCTCCTCCAGGATCTCATTGATTGTGGTGAGACAAAAACTAAAAGGAGGCGCGAGAACCACACAGTGCTAGAACGGCTGAGAAGATCGGAACAGCGAAACCTCTTCGATAAACTCCAGGCTGTCCTACGGAGTGACCCAAGAGCTCCCAGGCTCCGCCTCCTGTCATTGGTTAGTTCTGCATGCTGCATTTTTCCTTCTGGTTAGCTAAAGTGGAAACTGCAAGACAACTAATGGGAAAATGTAATTCCACTAAAGGTTGTGTGCACTTTCTACTACTTTTTAATACTTTTTATCACAATAACAAGGTCATGTTCTCATTAAGTTGTCCAGAAAGTTGGCACAGATACTACCACAGTATTTGCATCAGACTAAATACCAGGAAACTTTAAAAGATAAATGTAGATTTGAGTTCCTGTCAATGGAAAAACATGTGGGAGTTTCCTCTGGTCCGAATCAGTTTGAGTTTGTAAACTTGTAAATTGTTGCTAGCACGTACAGACCTTTGCATATATATGTAGCACCTTCCCCCCATGTGGTCACAGAGCACAAATAAAAATAAGAGTAAAGGAAGCTTGCAGAGGAAAAATTATATGGTGATAGTTAATTAATTTTACTGGGTCAAATTCTCCTTAAATATGACACACTTGTGGTTTAGTTTTTACATTATTTAAACGTTTTAAAAAATCAGTTTTACAGTGAAGTCTTTTTAGTTTAGGGTTTTTTTTGTTTGTTTGTTTGTTTGTTGGTTGGTTGGTTGGTTGGTTGGTTGGTTGGTTGGTTGGTTGGTTGGTTGGTTTTATGGGCCCATATTCAGCAAAAGAAAGTTCTCTTTTTTAATCTTTACTCAGACTTGTTTAAACATTTGTTTGGTTGCCCCCTTCCGGATTTTCTATGTTTTTGTATGTTTTTCAAAGTTAAATGTTTTAGATCACAAAATAAATTTAAATATTAGACAAAGATAACACAAATAAACACAGGATGCCATTTCTAAATGAAGGTGTTTATTATTAAGGGGGGAAAAATGTAAACCTACATGGCCCAAGAAATAACTGTGGTAATCACATCTTTGGAAGGCTGCGTTCAATTTCTCTCGCCACACCCAGGCCTGATAACTGTTCTTAACTCATTCACTGCCAGCCATTGGCAGTGAATGAGTTAAACCCATTGACTCATTCACTGCAATTGACGGCTATAGACGTCAATGGCAGTGAATGAGTTAATCAAGAAATCACTTAAATAGAGCCTGTGTGACAAAGCGGAGAAGACCAAAAGATCCTCAAAAGCCAGACATCATGCCATGATCCGAGGAAATTCAGGAACAAATGAGAAACATGGTAATTGAGATCTCGCAGTCTGGAAACGGTTAGAAAGACATTTCTAAAGCTGTGGGACTCCAGCGAAGCACACAAATGGTAAACCTACCCTGGAATTACCAATCAACCAAGATTACACAAGAGCCCAGGGACGACTCATCCAAGCTCTTGCTGAGCAAAAAGAACATAAAGGATCATCTTAGTTTTGCCTCTTTTGGAAAAAAACAAACAAACTCTCGACTGATGAGACAACAGGTGAACTTTTTGGAAGGTGTGTATCCTATTATATCTGGTGTCAAACTAACATGAAGGTGTTTTAAGAAAAGGAACATACAAACAGTAAAATATGGTGGTGGTTGTGTAATGGTCTGGGGGTGTTTAGCTGCCTCAGCAAAATGCCATCTACCAAAACATCGTGAAAGAGAATGTCCGAGCAGCTGTTTGTGACCTCAAGCTGAAGCGCACACGGGTTCTGCAGTAGGACAATGATCCAAAACACAGCAGCAATACCACCTCTGATTGGCTTAAGAAAAACAAAATGAAGACTGTGGAGTGGCCGGGCCAAAGTCCTGACCTGAATCCGACTGAGATGCTGTGGCATGACCCTAAAAAGGCGACTCATGCTCAAAAACCCTCCAATGTGCTTGAATTGCAACAATTCTGCAAAGATGAGTGGGCCAAAATTTCTCCACAGCGCTGTAAAAGACTCATTGCCAATTACTGCAAACGCTTGATTGTAGTTGTTGTGCTAAGGCTGGGCCAACCAGTTATTAGGTCTAGAGGGCAATCACTTTTTCACACCAGGTCATGTAGGTTTTGATTTTTTTCCCCCTTAATAATAAACACCTTCATTTAGAAACTGCATTTTGTGTTTACTTGTGTTGTCTTTGTCAACTATTTAAGTTTGTTTGATGAAAACAGAAAATCAGGGAGGGGGCAAACACTTTTTCGCAGATCTGTAGGTGTGAGTTTTGGCCTCACCGTCAACACTCGTTTTTGCCATTTTGTGTTTTTTAGGCCCAGAAAGAAATTCAGAGCCTGGTTAGGACCTCCAAACATCTAGAACAGGCAAAGAAGATGCTGACGCAGATGCAGTCGGGCTATGTAGAGACACTCTCTCAGTTGTCTGGTATGTACAATCTGTGTTAATGCACCTTTTCTTGCCCTGTATTGGTTTTTGTACTGTTTGAATGCACTGAGTTTGCATGGAGAATAACTCGAAGCTTGCTATCCAGCACTTGTGTACGACATCCTGCTCTTGTGTCAACATAGAGACTTGATCGCCAGCAGATCTGCTTGTCACTAACTTTCTGTATTTTCAAATATAACCTTTTTAGGAAAGTCTCAAAATGTGATCAGGCACAAACTAAAGGAGGTGTGCGAAAAACAGAAAAGGAAAGAGAAGACGGTGAAGTGGACGCCTTTCTTTTCCCACCTGCTACAGTCCAGAGCCGCTTTACTACAAGCCAGTGCTCCCAAGTCTAACCCCACGCCCTCATCTTCAGTACAGCCTGACGTCGGGGCTCCTTCTCAGGCTAACACAGCCACAACTCCACACAATTTAAAAACGATGATAACCCTGCTCCAGCCTCTCATGCGAAAAGCTCCAACTGAATCCTGTCCAAAGACACCTGTATCTAAACTTCTGCCTCTGCTGGTATCCTCTCCAGCTCAGGTTGCGAACGCTGCACCCCGGTCCCAGGTGAAAATTGAGCAAGGTGACCATGTGGCCTCAGTCCAAGAGAAAAAGTCTCCATCAAACTTAGAAGTCAAACAGAAAGCTTCTGGAGAGCCAGACCAGGCTACTGGTTCCCACATTTCCAGTTCCCAAACAGATCAGCAGTCTCAAGACCCGCCCGGTAAAGCTTCACCTCAGGCCCCCACAGCCAAAGAAGGAGCCTCACCTGTATCCCCAACAGCTAACTGCACCAGCACCAAGGTTCACACTCCAAAGCCTCTGGCTCTTCCTCTTATTCGCTCCAAGACTGGCAGGCTCATACTTCCCTCATGTCTGAAACCAAGTAAGCACTTTGATCAGTTAATACACCAAATTTAAATTATCTTCCATTTAAATGTGTTACTATAATATTATTGCATATGTTTGTGTTTTTATCTTACAGTTGGCCAAGGCTTCTATACACTCATGGTCATGAAACCCAGGAAGAATGAAGAGGAAGGTGATGCTAGCTCTTCAGCTAAGATGAAGCTATTTGAGCCATCAGACGCTATCATATCTGCATCAGACCTGCCTTTGGATTTGGAAACTGGGCATAACCTCAAGAGCAAAACGGCATCTTCAGATTCCGATTCGAAAGTTTCGGGTGTAATTTCCCCCCAGGCTGAGCTTGCCACCCTTAACAAATCAATGTTTGTGCCTTCAGTGGATCTTAAAGCTACAGAAAACAACAGTGAGGGCAGCACAGGTGCAGGCATGAGCACAACTCTTCCAGCTGCCCACTTGAGGTTTAATCGTGTGTGTTCTGTCAAGTCCGAGGCCGATCCAAGCCTTCCAGAAGCCCGTCGAGGCAGGGGCAGGCCTCGAAGGAACCCTGCAAGTACTGCTGTGGGTGAAAAGGAAAAGTGTAGTGTGATAGAAGAGACCAATAAATGTGTCAGCAAAGGTGAAATATCTGTGCTGCTTGAAGAGAAACAAAGTAAAAAAATTACTTTGGAAGAGACCAAGAAGGAAGCTGAGGGCCTCGCAGGCAATGTCGGTAAAGTAGCAGATATTCCTGTGCCAGTCAAACGACCCAGAGGAAGGCCTCCGAAAAGAAAGTCGGCACCAGTTAAGCGTCCTGCAAGTAGTCCCCTCAGATCCAGCTCTAAGAAACTTAAATGCAATCCCTCCGCTAAGGCAACTGAAAGCCCTACCACCAGGACGTCGAGGCCTTTAACACGCGGTGCTTTAGGAAAAGACTTCCCCAGCGCAAAGAAACGGTCCTGGATAGACGTAGAAAAAGAACTGGAACCTGAGCTAGAATTTGCATAGTTGTAACAAACGTCCTTTCACTACAAAAACGAATCTACGCTCTGAGAGTCTCACACTGAAATCTCACTCATGACTAAAGATGTCTTCACATGTGAACTCTGGACTCCGAATCACATCGGAGCCTTTGTGAAAGTCGTTTCTTCTCACATGTACAACACGGCAGGAGGCGGTTTGCTTCAGACACCTTCTCATTGTTAGGTTTAAGTGAAGGCGCTGCCTGGGACCATGCAGGTAAGGGTGCATCCACCTGCCCTCTGTGCTGTTCTCACATGGGCACAGTTGATTGAAGCAGGAGTTTGTTTGTTTTTTCTGGGAAGCTGGATGTAAAAGACTAATTTGTGTGTAAATGAACTAAGGATGCAGCATCTTTTTCTAACATCATCTTCACAGTCTTACTTGAAGTTTCTCTGCTTTCTGCTGATATTGGCAGCTCGAGTCACGTGTGTCAATGAAAGTGTCACCAAATGTGCCTGTCTGAAAAAGCCAAAGGATCAGGGCCACGGATAATAACTGCTGCTCTCTTCTGAACTCAGTGGACTTCTTTCATAATGTAGAGAAAGGCTGATTTTTTTTTTTTTTTTTGTATAAATGATAAAACGGCATTAAGAGACCTGCTGAATGTATTCATGAAATGAATCAGTTTTGATATCAATATTTTCCAGCAATGAATATGACCAACTTTTAGGTGGAGTATCGAGATGTATTTGAATTATGTTTAACTTTGAGCGATTCTTCACTGAACTCTCTTATGCAAAATAAAACTATACAGATATGTTCTGCGATCCAGCATTTTAAGCCTTACAATGTAAGCTGAGTGTCTGTTCCCAGCTGGATGATGCACAGCTTTAACTTTATCACGTCTTAAAAGGTGTCATTTTTCAATGGGTGCTAGATAATGTGTTACTAATCTGTTACTAATGCAGTAAAGCTCATCAGTAGTTGCACTTTAAATGTTTTTTTTGGTAGAAATCACCCGTGTTGTCTCCTGTTTGCATTAACCTGTAACGTAACACATTAAATCAGCATTATAAAGTCATCTTTGAATAAGTCAGTACACATAAACCTGATGTTTTGGAAGCGATGCAAGACGTGTAGCTGTGGTAGACGTGTACCTAATGTAAATAGATTCTGTGAATATTGTGGGGTTTTTTTTAATTGCATAACAGTTTGTCTTTGGATGATATCGAAACACTGGTTATCTTATCTCAGTCTGAGTGAATTCAATGCATTTATTGTCCCATCCTTCACTTAAAATACCACCATTTTTGCTTTGTTTGATGTCTCCAAGCCAAAATGTGGCTGAATTCATGTGAATGGTGATGTAACGGCATCTCTTCTTGGAAATAAAACCGTTTGTGTTCCTTGTTTTCAGACATCTGTCACAAATAACTTTTTTGGGGGGGGTGTATTTCATCTTGTCTTTACATATTATGAACTAATCCTGTCTGTACACCAACACCTTGGATTTAAATCAAATCAGATGTGATTGAAGTGCAGACTTTAAGCTTAAATTCAAGAGGATTAAAAAGTATTTTTTGAGATCTTTATGAATAAACGTTCAAACTGTCAACAACCACCTGAGGTACAATCTCTGGAGATCACCAGGTACTGTTGTGGTTCCTCTCTTGAGATGCCCTGTCAGCCCTTTACCGTAGCCACCTTCACTTATTGCTCATTTGTGGGTCTCTGCATTCAGTTTTTGTAAGAACTGCAAACCTGCTCTGTTAGGTTGAGATCAGGTGACTGACTTGGCCATTGAAGAATATCTAATTTGTTTGCCTTGTGAAAGTCTGTCTGATCAGTTTTGCAGCATTTGTCTAAATCCGAGGAGAAATTGTTGCCCTGTACATGTCACAATCCATCCTGCTGCTTCTATCAGCAGTCACATCATCAATGAACACTGACTGAACTGTTCCACGGGCACCCAAACGGGCCCTTAACATCACCTCCACTGTGTTAGTGTGGTTTGTTTTTGCTCATGAGCTGTCCCTCTCCTCCGCGCTTTAATGAATTATTCCTGGTTCTGTCCAGGATCTTTCATGTTTTCTGGCAAACTAATCGGGTATTCTTTTTCTTGAGTGTGACCAGTATACATCTCAGTCATCCAGGTTATGGTAATCTAAGGAGCTTGGAAGGAAAAGCAACTGGACTTATATAAGTTTCTTGAAGACATTTCACTTCTCATCCAAGAAGCTTTTTCATTTCTAAGAGCAATTGGTGGATAGTCCCAGATTTGTAAACCCTAAGACTGTTTTGGGTGCGCCCATTGTGAGACCTTGCCCCACCCCATCATGTGACTTATTCAGTTGATTTTACTCTGACTGTTGTGCACCAACTTGAGAGTATTCTTGACTTTGTGAGATGTTGTGAAATTGGTTTTTGTAACCATGGAAATAATTCTGTCATCATGCACTTCAGTCATCTCCTGCAGTCTTTGTGGCCTCTTGGTGCAGCCGAGCTGGCCGGTGCGTTCCTCTTTTTTAAGGGCCCAGGTACACAACTAAGGTACACATTTCTGGTAACTAGTTAATTATAAATATGGTATTTTACAATACTGTATGGTGCAGTTGGCTGTGTTTTATTGGCAGGTGAGTTTATTGATATCAACCTTCAAGATATAATTTTAAACTAAGGTGAATTAGAACACTTACATGGCCGATCATCCAATCATCAGTTGGAACAGCACATTTGTGGTGGTAGTTTGGTAGTAATCACAAAATTGTGTTTGTTTTTGTTTGTGAAGAACTATTTTATACCAAAAGTCTTCAGATTCACTTAAGCTGTAACAGAATATAGCTCACTGTTAGTATTACTAGCTATTTGTTACCAAAAATAATAATTGACTATAAAGGTCTGCTGAGAAGACCTATAAATAAATCCAGTAGGTTGGCAAAAATAAGTGCAGTGTGCTCTGAAAGGATGTGGTTTGAATGCAGATCTTCCACGAAGACATTTCATAATTGAAATCTCATTCAAATGGATGAGTTCCTTAACACGCACTAATTATCGCCTCCGTGCAAGACAACGTGAGTCAATGTGTTCAAAAAAAGACACAATCAAAACCTAAATTGCTTTAACTTAAGCAAACAGTCCCATTTACTACGAGTGAACTTCCAGATAAGTGAACCTCTGTCTGCTAATCAGCAGCCTAATAAATTCTTTGGTGGCTCCCCAAAACGTCCCCTGCACCGGTCTCTCTAATCCCATTAAATCAGGCGCAAAAGCTGATGTAATCACTGAATGGGACCAGTTCAGGTTCGGATTAAACCAGTGATGTCACACTGGCGCACGGGAACAAGCGAAGAGCTGAGCGGCGACTCCGTCTCCTCCTGTCATTGCAAACGCAGCGCTCAGACGAGAACCTGCAACGACAGAAGAAGAGAACAGCGAACTTACTCGAGAGATTAGCCTCCACATGTCCCACCGGCTGCTGCAGGAGCTCTGTCACACTTTGTAAAGCTCTGCAGCCGGAAGGTTTTAGTCCTGGGAGCAGGATCATTACGCGCTCCCCTTCGCTTCTTCTTCTCCAGCCCGTGTGCGCGCCACACTCCGTCAGTCCGTGGATTGCCACAGTGGATGGTCAGCAGCCCTCAGAGCCGTGCCTCCGGGCTGCCAAGCTAAGAAAAATGCCGGGCGATGGATTCACCATTAAAAGTCGCATTAGGAAGTTTCTGCGTTCTCCATCCACCGGAAAGAACTGCAAAGAAAATCTCACCAGCAAGGTACGAAAACTTCTGATGTGTGAGTAGAACAGCCGGACAGAAGAAGCGTCCCGCTGCAGACCTGTTAGTGCTGCAGGCTTACCTGGAGCTAAAATCTGATCTGAGATACTTTACTGTAATTATTGGAAATCTAAGGTACAAACGTTTCACCTGCTTAACCCTGTAAAACCTGAACCATGAAACAACTGCCATAAAATTCATGTTTATTGTATTCACCAAAAAAGAAATTAAACATCAGCCTCTATTGTTTTTACCGCATCCTGTATTTTTGTGCAATTTATTGATGCACAGGTTGTAACAAGTCACGCGTTACAGGGTGGAAAACTGTGAGATAGGCGTTCATTTATTATTATTAAAACAGTTATTGCGACCTGTTGGCAGAGTAGTGATAAATCATTATGAGAACAGCTGGCGTTGTTTATTAAAATGAAGATATTGCAGTGTCTGGACTGGGAACACCTATGTTAAGCAAGCATTCACGATTTAATAGCTGATTTACTGCCAAATGTGATGTTTAAACAGTGGCAAAATTGACATTTTGATAACCTGGCAACCCAAAAGGTTGGTTTATTAATTGCTTATAAATGATCTATTAACACTGGTCAGTTAAAAAAACCAAAAAATTTTAATTTAGAGTTCTTAGAAAGCATTTGTTATGATTCTTTTTATTGTTTGCTGATGTTATTATTGCACTTTTGTTAGTAGGACACTGAGGCTCGGCTACATTCATATGTTCACTCAGACTAATCAATGATGCCAGCAGTTGGTTTCTAATTCCCAAGGCAGACACAGACAGGCAGCCAAGCCAGCTGTCACATCCTCACTTTGTCTTTGAGATCTTTTTCTTTTTCCTTTTTTTTTACGCCTCAAACACCCAAAAGATAAAACGACGACAGTTTTCTGTCTCGAGCCTGTTGTTGGACACGTATCAATCAAAGACACGCTTGGTGCTGCACATCAGCAGCTCAGAGTCTGCTCGTTTATCACAGAGTTTGTGCAGGTGTGCAATAAAGACAATAACGGTGATCAATACTTTTCAGATTTGACAGCCTGAATCTTGAAACTGCCAGGAAAGGCTGCTTTCTAATACATAAGATGCCAGAATGTTGTACACAAACAGCACATTTACTTGTGTCTTTACTGACTTCTCTCTCTATTCTTCTGTCAGCCTCCACTATTTTATTTTTCTTTTCTAATTATGATGAATTCCTGAAAACCAAACCCGCCCTGTGTTGTCTCTCTACAGGTGACTCTAGAGAAAGTGTTGGGCATCACCTCTTCAGGAAACAGCGCTCTGGCCTGCGACCCTCGATCCGGACTTGTGGCCTATCCTGCAGGGTGAGATGAGAGAGACTGTTTATGCGCTGTTATCTTCCTAATTTGACCTTTGACTTATCAGCACTTTGCTCGCTCCCAGCTGCCTTATCATATCTACCTCATGCGGATGTTTAGTGTGCAAATTTCTGCCTGTGTGTTATCTCTGCATCATCTCAGAGGACTGGAGCTCTGTGTTGGGTTTTTTTCTTTATCCCATCCTTGGGGAGGCTGTCTCTGGCACAGTGATAGCTTGTTGTGCAGTATTATTAATTCTTGCTGCTATAGCTTTAATCAGCATAGAATATAAAAATGAGGATGGTTATGCTGGATGGTTTAGATCTGCAGTGGTGATACTGGGGGGGTTGGCCTCGGAGTGGGTGAAAGCAGTGTTTAAAAACAAGCAGAGAGGGTCCTGCCAGGTCGCAACAAAATCTGTGCACTTGAGCTGATTTTGTTCTGAAACCTTCCAACAAAGCTGTATTAATATTAAGAAGGCCAGCGGTCAAAGGGGAAAAACGAGGAGAATTAGAGCAGTATTGCAACAACGTGTAAAGGAGTGTAAGGGTGTGTGTGTGTGTCTGTGTGAGGCATGCATGGGCACGTCTTTGCACAAATGGTTCTGCTCATCGTTGTACTAAATGGTGCACAATCTGGCAACCCACCTGCTGTCTCAGTTTAAATCTGTGCAAGCTGCTCTGTACCAGGTTTCCTGGCACGGTGCAGTTCACTAGCAGGTCCAATGCTGATCTAAGTTCTGCTCACGAGCTAGGATGCAAAAAGGATTTTGAATTAATAGGTAACAATATTATGCGTCCGTTATTTCAATATGGAAAAGTATATGATGAAATATATAGTATAGACTAAAAATGACTCTAGTCGTGCTTTCATTTTTCATGTAATGTAGTGTAATCTTCTTTCTGAATGTTCCCTCTAAGGAAGTTATTCTGTATTTTGAAAACTAGACTAAGGACGGAAAATCTTGTGCACTTTCCCAACCCAAGGTTTAAAATGTGTGTGCGCGCTTGTGTTCCTATTCATTTCGTTTTTGTAGGAACACCCAGTCATCTCCAAGTTTCAGTCGTCTAGCTTTTGATTTATGGTGAAGCTGAAAATTTTGGAGGTAGTTCTCCTTCTTCATTAATATATCCAACTGGTGCAATGTACAACTACAAAACGACCCCAGAGCATGATGCTACCACCACCGTGCTTCACAGGAGGTGCATTGTGCTTAGGTTTGACCTTTACTCCGGAAAGGCATACCCCTTGTCATTGTTGCCAAATGGCTCAATTTTTGTCTCTTCTGACTGTAAAATATTACTCCAAGGCTTTTTGGTCATGCATGTTGGCAGCTGCAAACTTCAGCCGAGCTTGAAGGTGTCGATTTTGGAGTAGTGTAAAACTCACTTCACTCTGCAAAGTGGTGACACATCGAAACAACTTATATTTACAGTTCAAAGAAATCATTAAAAGCCTAAAATCATCATTCGTCCATGCCCACGATGAGGGTGCGCAAGCTCCTGACTTCATCTGTATGTTTCACACAAAAAGAAAATGATAAATCATGAATGCAGAGTTTTGACCACAACACACACGGCTGATTTAAACCAGAAAATATTGATGATTTATTGGGGTTATTTTTGTGTTGTGGGGTAAAATTTAATAAAAAATAAAGAGGAATTAGAAGTTATCCAGCTGATCTTTTGGTCATTTGTAAGTTTCATAAATTCATTTCTGCACATGATTAGTTGTTTTTTCGCAATCACTACACATGTCAATTATTTAATGCTTTCCTAGAACATTAACAGCACCAATGTTTACGGTGTGTTTCTACTTCTCGCTGTTACCACCAAGGAAAAACTTCCAGATAAAATTCAGCCATCAGCATCAGGCTTTCTTTGGAGTTGCACAGTTTGAATGTTTAAACATTTGCGCCTATAAACTCTGTCATTAATTTATTAACATAAAATGGCCATTTTCCTTAAGTATGTGCATCGTTTCTCGACCTGTTTCCATATCAGACATTAATATGCATTACTGCATTTCTTGGTTTCCTTTTGTAGGTGTGTGGTAGTCTTACTGAACCCCAAAAAGAACAGGCAGCACCACATTATCAACACTTCAAGGTGAGTCACCCACGAGTACAGTCTTCACTGAAGCAGAGCAGCACTGAACTAATCATGCTGTGATGTTATCCTCTGTCCCTCTCACAGGAAAACCATCACAGCTCTGTCTTTTTCCCCTGACGGCAAACACTTGGTGACAGGAGAGGTGAGTTTCATCACCCTCACTTTTCTCACTTTGTCTCTGCAGGTAAACTCAAACTTGCGTCTGTGCTCTCGTCTTCTGTTTAGCTTTCTTTGGTTTTTGCTGTGTCAAGTGAATATCACAGTAGGACTGGTGTTTGTAGTGATTCAGATTTACTGCAGAATCCAGAGAATTAGCTTGTTCGCGTCTTCAGTTATCCACAGTATAAGAAGGAGTTAGCGCCCTGTGCTGCGGACACCCCAGCAGGATGGAGGCTTGCTGCAGAGCTCTGTGTTTGCAGCCTCTCCTCTTTAGAGGGCCTTGTTCTGTCGTGTCACAGCGTAATGTGTCTTTTCAGTCAAGCATCTTGAATCGGTTTTGTTGTAGTTACAACGCGGGCCTCGACACAACACGCTATCTTAATCCTCCCCGGCCAATCAAAGCCGATTAAAGACTTCTCTGCATAAGTGGATGGGCAGGCAGCAGTTGCCATGACGACAAAGACCAAAGTTCAAAAGACCAAATAGACTTGAGGATAGGCTGTTCTCCTGGATTCTCCTGGAATTCAAAGGGAACCATGTGCTAAATTCCCAACGTTAGAATACTTTGAGTAATTAAAACTGGTTAGAGATCGTAGTAGATTTGGTGGAGAAATATTAGAGCCCTCTTTTTAACCCGCTGCGCTCGGTGATCAAAGCTGAGCGCATCACAGCTGTATTAGATGTTTTCCCACAGGCCCTTTAAAAGGAGGAGTAAAAGATATGCCCGAGTGAGTGATCTGATAAGAAATGTCCCTCACACACACACACACACACACACACACACACTCATTCATCAAACAGTAGCTCATTTACATACAGGGGCAGGCTGACAGCGGATGTGCAGGCTGTTTTGTCCTCCTCTTCTTGTGTGTCTTTTGTATGCAGCTCTGTCTTCAGTTGAATGTCACACTATTTCTTTTGGACCTAATAACTCTGACCTTTGAAAGGCCCTGTTACCATATTATAATAGGAGACTACACAAATAGTCTGCTGAACTTTCGATCCCCAGGAGGGAATAATGTGAGCAGGTCAAGGGACAAGTAGACAATCAGAGGACAGAGAGAGGATGATCTTCTAGAGAGATGGACAGACAGGAATGACAGGTGACTCCTGAGCGGAGCCTGTTTCAGTCGACGAAAACATTAAGACCCTTTAGTGTATGAATGGAGGAGTGTTCGCCATCTTACTAACAACCTAACATTGTTTTTAAACGTTGACTCCTCCCCCCCTTACCATTTTTTTTTCTCATCAGAGCGGTCACCTACCGGCGGTGAGGGTATGGGACGTGGCAGAACGGAAGCAAGTGGCCGAGCTCCAGAAGCACAAGTACGGCGTCTCCTGTGTGGCTTTCTCCCCCAATGGCAAATACATAGTCAGTGTAGGAAATCAACATGACATGATGGTCAACGTCTGGGCGTGGAAGGTTTGTCTCCCTTGAAAGTTTCTAAAGCTCAAATCCTACTTGTGCTTTTACACCTTCTTCCGTTCTCCTGACTGCTTTAATCGGGACAATGATGGTTTAATGTCTGATGACTGGCAATTTTTAAGCTCAATTTTTTCAAACTCTAAATGAAAAAATAACTTTAAAGTAGTGAAAATGTCTAAAACCACGTAGTGAATGTGATGTTATACTGTTGAGCAGCGAGTCCTATTGTGTTTTAGTTGTGTGATCTCTTTCGAATGTGTTGTTCTTTGCAGAAAGATGTAATAGTGGCCGCTAACAAGGTGTCCAGTAAGGTGAAAGGTGTGTCTTTCTCCGAGGACAGCTCCTACTTTGTCACAGTGGGGAACAGGCATGTCAAGTTCTGGTATCTGGATCACTGCAAGGCCAACAAGGTATGAGAGGCTTTCCTATCTTTTATTACTGCCTGGAGTTATTTCCCTACCTTTTACTTCTGCTTTATTTTTGCATAACTGAATAACTTTAGTGCACTCTTACATTATGCAAATACATTTGTGAGACCCAGGGATTATTAATTTTCAGCAGCACACATGCAACATTTCAGGGAAGCGCTTTAACTCCTTCAGTTGGAGCTTTATCGGCTAACCATCACCCCTCTGTGCTTTGTAGGCCAGCGCTCCTGTGCCTCTGCTGGGCCGCTCCGGGCTGCTGGGAGAGCTGAGGAACAATTTCTTCTGTGATGTAGCTTGTGGACGTGGCTCAAAATCAGACTCCACTTTCTGCATTACTTCCTCTGGCCTGCTGTGTGAGTTTAACAGCAAGAGGATGCTGGACAAGTGGGTGGACCTTCGGGTGAGTGAGAGGGGAGGGGCTGTCTGCAGGTGAAAGGTAGAGGTGGGACTAACCAGACACCCCACTATATGATCAATGTGATTTTTAACATTTTGTGACATATAAGAAAACAAAACAAAATGAATGAGATATTCATAAATCTCAAATTAAAATTTTGTCAGTATTTGTTTTATCTAATAAGATAAAGTAATCATACTTTAATTATTTGGATTTATGTAATTTTTTGCTGCAAAATTATATTGTCAAGTACCAACACTTTGACTAAAACCTGCCACAAGATGAATTGAACGGGGTCAAGCTGTGATAAATCACCGAATTCAAATCTGTTGAGTCGACTTCCCTCATCAGAATCAGAATGGGGTTTATTGCCAAATGTTGAGCAGGTTTACAACATTAGGAAATTGCTGCGGTGCTTCAGTGCAAACATGGTGTCATAAATAACACTTAAATAGACATGGAAAAAATAAAAGTAGGGATAAGAATTAAAAGTGCTACGTGGAAAGATATGTGCATGAGCTATACATGAGATATATACATGAGAGTAAGAATTAAAAGTGCTACGT